TTTTATTTTATTTGTTTCATATTTCTTATTTCATCAATGTTTTCAATTATGAGACTAAATTTGACAATAAATAGTTTGAAAATATATTTTTGCAGCTTTAATTTTTAATATTAATTTACAATATGGTCACCAAGACTTAAATGGCTGGCTCACTGCCAGCTTAGCCGTTCATTTTTATGTTGTAGTTCAGCCTCTGATCACTAGTTGGCAGCAGTGAGCCAGCCTGGCTCACTGCTGCCAACTAGTGATCAGAGGCTGAACTACAATATAAAAATGAACGGCTGGCAGGAAAGTTGACATTTTAAACCTTAATAAAAAAAATCAATACAGGGCTTTAGAATATCGATACAGTATCCGGAAATGAAATATCGCGATATTTCAGTGTATCGATATTTTCTTACACCCCTATTTATGAAGTATCTCAGTCTTACTTTAAGTGAAGTGTAGGAGTAATTCTTTAGTGTCAGTCTTAGAACTGATTTGACACCTGGCTGTGCTGCAAAGGTGATCCTGGATGATGTCGTTAGAAAACCCCCCCCCGACATGAACCAATCAAACTGCCTCGGATTACATGTTCAAGAATATTGTTGGAGAAATGTCAGGATAAGACTGTGAAAATCCTAAGATAAGTTCACTTTCAACACACTAATGTTGTCACCTTGTACTGCTGTCTGTAAATTACATCAAATGTCCTCATTTGCATCATGAATACAGACAAAAATATCAGATTTTTTTAAATCAAAAACTCAGCAGCTTTAAAGTTTTTTTATGTCTCAGAGCCTGAGGTCATGTTGAGCTGCTCCCTTCTAACCTTCCTGTCTGCTGTCTGCAGACAACCCCGCTCCATCAATAACAGTTTAGACAACCCCCCTCCACTCCATCATTGATTGTTAATATAATAAACAAAAGGTTCATGCACTCACCAGCTGAGTATATTTAATATTTTCTCCAAAAGCCACACACAGATATCTGCCTTTTAGTCCAACATTATACGTACTGTTTTTTTTTTCTTTCTTTTGTATTTTTGACTAAATCAGTTTTCCACACCTCATAAGTGAGAATAACACTCAGGTGGGGAGGAAGGACAGCTGTAATCTCTGTCTTCAGTCCATCTCAGACCCCTAGTGGCAACTCTTAACCACTTAAGAGTCCTCTGGAGCAGTCTGAACTTTTCAGGAGAGTAAGAGTGATTCTTAGATTTAAGAATTTTGATAACTGGCACTTAGACTTAAGTCTGAGTAGGAGCAAATCTAAGACATTTTCAGCACTTAAATCTAAACCACTCTAAGAAGTTTAATAAATACAGGCCCTGATTTAATGTTAGTGACCAAAAAAGTGTGTGTGTGTGTGTACTTGTTTCTACTACAGAGTGAGGACCATTTGTACCATAGTTACTATCAAAGTGAGGTCTTTGATGTAAAGTGAGAACCAATGTCCTCACTGTATTTGCAGCTCTACTTCGCTTTACTAGTTAGTTTTAGAGGTATGGTGTAAATTAAGTTTTGGTTCAAGTTAGTGTTAAGAATAGACTAGTAACAGTTTTAGGGAAAATGTCTGGGCTAGGCACAAATACAGTTACAAAAATGAATGGAAGTCAATACAATGTCCTCAGTTTGATGCAAGTACAAGGATATAGGACAGTGGGCAGCTGTGGTGGAGTAGTTAGGGGAGTTGTCCTGGAACTGGAAGGTCACTGGTTCGATCCCCCGTCCAGCCGTCTCAGTCGTTGTGTCCTTGGGCAAGACACTTCACCCACCTTGCCTACTGATGGYGGTCAGAGGRHCCGGTGGCGCCGGTGCATGGCAGCCCCACCTCTGTCAGTGTGCCCCAGTGGCTACAGTGTAGTTTGCCACCATCAGTGTGTGTGTCAGTGAGTGTGTATGAATGGTAGGGATGTCCTGATCCAGATTTTTTGGCCCTCGATATAATCCAGTTTGTTAAAGGCGGACTATTATGGGGGTCTTAGTACAAGTTAGGATCCATCTGTGGGCTACACAAAACATGTTCTTTTGATTTAACTCACAAAAACAATCTCAAATAATGAAATTTCACCTTTTCAGGTCTGCCTGTTCTTCAGCTCTCTGCACCTCGTGCTGTATGCAGAAGTTGCTATGGAAACACCCCTCCCCTATCCCCCCTATCCGCTTGTTTACTTTAGCTCCGCCCCCCGACATGATAGAAGTTTCCAAAGTGAAATTATTTTCACAAACTACAGCTTTCTTTGGCAATGTTGTTAGAACATTTTCATCAAAGATAAAAATAAAATTAATCCAGGCATCTCTGTTCTCCATGGCTGCTGTAAAAACAGCAGAACTATAGTCTGAAGAAGTGGGCGGAGCTTCACCTTGGGTTGCCAGGTGAGGAGCTGGAGTCTGGCTTAGGTTGCTAGGTGACTGTTATTGTGACGTCAGAATAATGTGCTTTGAGAAAAAAACCATGTTTCAAAATTACCAAATTTCCCTCTGGGATCAATAAAGTATTTTTGAATTTGAATTGAATTTGTTTCCAGATACCTAAAAATACATGTAATTGCAGCTAAAAACAGCTGGGTGCATGTTTTGGTGTTTAGACTGCTTCTCTAAGCAGCAGAGACCCAAAAATAAGTTTAAAAACATGAAAAAATTGAGTTTTGCATAATAGGTGCCCTTTAAAGTGTATCTTACCCCACTGTGAAAAGATAACTCCACCCCAAGGCGAAATTTGAAAAATGCATCAAAGTGGGTAGGGGAGGGGGGGTTAGAGAGCGGAGGTGTGGCCAGGACGAGACAACATGACAGGCAGCTAGCATTAGCATAATTGATGCTACATGGAGAGTGACCACAGTATCGCAGATAGTTACATCTCTAAACGGTCTGAAGTGGAGGATTTTTCACCCCCCTCCTCACGAGAGAGAGAGAGAGAGAGAGAGAGAGAGAGGCGCAGCAGTCAGCTCTCCCCACCCAACGATGAACAGACGATCATGCTAAGCTTGCTAACTGTTCCACCCTCTGACTGCTGCAGGGGCGTGTCTTAGAGAGAGGCTTTTATACCAGAACACAGCYGCTGTGACGAAACTGTGGAGAAGACACGTCACCGTGGAGAGCCGTTAACCAATATGCAAATTAGCCTGCAGTACCACTGCTCTACCCATATGAGCAGCAAAAACACATTTTTAGACCAAATATTACAGATTT